AGGTTACGTGACTTTTCGTCTCATTCCGTGGTATAGGACTGCTGTGCATAAGGTCGGTTGCAGGAGGGAACTCGTGTTTTTATTATGGTCGTCAGAGTCGTTGTGGCTTCCGCGTTGATTGCAGACTATTGACTGAGTTGCTGCGAATATAAACGCCTTGACCACTGTTTTCTTTCGCTTTCTCTGAGCTGCTATGACGCCTTTGGCGTATTGATTTAATTCCGTTGTTGCCTCCGTTCAGCATCGGATGTCGATCCTCTTGTTGTATCTTCAGTATTGAGACTCGACGTTACTTTTCTTTACTCTTTTCTTTGTATTCTTCTCGCGTCCCTGTTTGTTTCACTGCATTTTACCACGGACTCTTTGCTTTCAGCGATTTTTATTGCACTTTTCGGTTTTTGTCAGGATCATTTTGTGTAAATCCCAAGAAATGACACGTGTCTGTGTTATTCTTGCCAACGTGTAGAAAACTAATGTGTTGTTTGTACACCCTTAATACGGTGGTCATTTTTTATTTTATTGTGATTAACAGACTCTTGTTCTTGTGCCAAACAAAGGTTTCAAAAGTGATACCTTTTAATCCGGCGTTTCGGTTTCCGACACAGAAGCAGTCATATAAAATCTTTCACAAATAACATTTGTAATCGTTCTTGTCGCATGCATCGTTCTTGTTCTTGTTAAGATTGCAAAGCGTGGGAGGCATGACCGATCAATGACAAGAATGAGATTAGAAGGGCTTGTTAATACGAGGTCTTAGAACTCTGTGAAAAAAGGAATGGAGAACGCCTTAACAAATACCGTAGCATGGTACTCACTTCTGTCCTTGCATAATCTGACTACTTCGATCAATCAAGGGGTCATTATAAAATTGTCCCGAAAAAAAGCTGAAAATTTCTCAAACCATTGGACAGTTTTACTTAATCAAGAATTTGGTTGGGTTTAAATTTTTTTCTCACAAAGTCTAAAGTGCTAATGGATGCCAACGATGAACCATTAGTCGGAATTTTAATTTAAAGACAGATACATCTTTAAATTGCAGCGTTTTGGTTCCGGATCCAGAAGGCCTCCTCAAAATTAAGCTGGTCACTCTTCTTATGGCCACTAACCAGAACTGTTAATCTTCCGAGCCTTAAAAGAGCTTGTAAGGAAAGTGCCAATGTCAGCTGGCCCAGCTATTATTGGATCTCCTAAGATCGGTCAAGACATTATTCTTTCAGTAGTACTGAACAGCCCATTAGAATGCAAACTTGAAGTACGGGTTTGTAGTACACTGATTCTCGTTAGTGAGGTTGCACAGTAGAGGAATTCAGCAAACGCCAGAATCGCAGTTTTTCTAGTACAAACTTTAAACGTTTAGCTTGCAGTCCTAAACCCGAGGTAACGAAGCGGCGAAAAATAAACCCTTCCCCGTCATCAAGGATCAGCATCCACGAAGTACGCAGGCCTGGCAGGGATCCGTCAAATGGGCGTGTATGCATCAATATGATAATGTTGTTTTCTTCTCGCAGTGTTCTAAAGCAGGTTGTTTAAAATTCAGTGTGTCAAGTAGATGCAGTGTACCGCCCTTCACATGGCGTCCCAAGCGCTCCATCATTCCTCTTCTTTTCGTCCGAGGCATAAACTGTACCGCTGAAGGGTAACAACTGATCTGATTTTCAGGTGGCAGTTTGTCTTCTCACACTTCATTACTCACACCATGCATT